GTGTTTTCGGAAGTAATCTGAAAATATTTGGTAGTATTTATTAAGATCTTTTTTTGTATAGATGCTTTCGGTTTCCTGATAAATGTGGGAAGCACAATTTTTAAGATATGGAGATCCAATCTTTGGTTACACGTTTTGTTTCAGGTCATCCATAATCAGCCCAAAAGATTAAACATTCTGACAAAAAAAAAATTGATTGTGCTTGTGCCTTATTAAAATTGTCATGTGTTTTCGGAAGTAATCTGAAAATATTTGGTAGTAGTCGTTTAGAGCGTTCGAAGGCACTGAAAATGGTTCTGGAAAGTTTGGACCGTTTTCGGAAGTCGTTTAAAAATTTTCGTTAGTTTTTGGTTGTTCGGACTTTTAATAATGTTAGTTGAACATGATATCATCGGGTAAAACTGTATATACTCTTTTTATGTCCCGAACGTAAGCTAGATAGAGTATGAAAAGGTAGGTGTCCCGTTTCCGTCTGTCTGTTGTTTGTCTGTCTGCCTGTCTGTATAGATTTATATTAGAGGCATCCAAATTCCGGCAGAAAAATTGAAATTGTGTAACCTTTTATACTAACCTAGGCGAAGCTCGGGCACGAAGTGATAACCGTGGGCGACTTTGGACTTGTAACAAGGCGTTCTATTCTCTCATTGGACTTTTTTGCTGTAATTATCTATATACATATTTTAATGTATAGAAACTATATATAAACAAATTTTTCTTCGAGTACGTAAGCTATTTTCATGTTTTCTGGACGCTTTATTACCCCTGGAGTAACAAACAATAGGTCTCCCGTTTCAGTCTGTATATCTGTCTGTCGTCTATGTCGATTTTTATTAGAGTCTGAAACTTCCAATTGTTATCCAATTTTATGTGTATTAGAAATATGGTATAGATGAAACAGGCATCAAAATTTGTCTAATCACCCCCACCAACACTAACGATGTCACCTTAACATTTTTCGTAGTAAATGCCATTTAATTTTTAAAAATAACATATTTGTAGTTTATGAGTCTGTCTTGATTAGAGTTGTGGAAGGATGAAAGGTCCGCGGTTAAATTTTAAAATTTTTAGAAGAAGCTGTATTTATTTCTTCACTTCAAGGCGAAGGAAGTTTTTCCTAAATAACCTTAGACATTTTTTTATGATTTTTCCAAAATTTGTTGGGAAAATGATAAAATGATATAAGGGAAATGATAAAGCAAAGATCCAAAATTTGTGAACATCAACTATAAAATTTCAAAATTTTCTATATATATATATTATGAGAAAGACGTTTTCCAGGTTTGGAATGTGCCAAATTTAGGAGGGTTTCCACGTTTCGCCAACTTTCATAACAGATATCTTTAGGAAGTGAAGGACAAGATGAGAAGAAAGTTTTACCTCCAGTTTCGTTAACTGCTCTTTTACTATATTCATTTCCTGAAGATGCCTTACAAAAGTAGGCGAAACGTCGAAACCCTTTCACAAATCTGACAAGGTCCATACCTGGAAAACGTCTTTGTGTTATGACTTTGGCTGTGAAATTCTTCGATAACATTTTCATATACTGAAAGAAAAATTTAAAGACAAGTGTTAATTTTTTTTTAGAAAAATAGTTTTTAAAGAACAGTAAGCGTCGTAAATTACGAATTGGTACAAAATTTGTGTTTCAGAATTATTTGATGAGTGAATTTTTCAGATTTTTTTACTCCCGAGCCTAAACTAAAGAAGTATGGAGTCCAATCAGGCGACTTGTCAGTTTCATGTTTTCTCGACGTTTCATGACCACTAGAGTACGAAAACAATGGTCTCGCGTTTCTGTCCGTCTGTCGTCTGACTGTCTGTACCGATTTTTATTAGACAGATAATAATCTCCAGAAAAATGTATATGTATATTAGGATATCATGTAGATGGTATAACGCTAACCAAAATTTGGCTGATCATCCTCACCAAAAGTTTGATGACGTCATTTCAAAAGTTATGTTTTAAAATGATAAAATGTTACGTTATCACATACTTTTTATTGATCACATTAAGAACGTGTCCATTTTCTCTTTAGTTAATAATGATAAAATAAACATTATAATAATAATATTCAGAACATTTTGTTTAATTGTGGCTTATTTAATAATTTTAGTCCTCTGTTTTTAGGAGACAAACGCATTCAAATCAATCAATCTTTTGATGTATCAACATAAACACTCGAAGTTAATATTTCTGAGAGGACATTTTTCCCGTTGGTTATCTGCTTTAAATATATTTTACTTTGTTCGTACGGCACAGGGGTTGCGGGGGTGTTATTTATGCTGATGATTTTTACTTTATTAGGTTATCAATTTTTCAAAGATCTGTACAAAATATTGAAAATGTTCATGTAAAATATTCGTAAGCTGTATACGGACACCAGGAACGAGAAAAATCTTCGGCCATCGAATGCTTTTTTGACGACGTTTTTATTGATCGTTTGAAGTTTATCTAAGTAACATGGCTTTTGATGAAACATTACAAATTTTGACCTGTTTGACGTGGTAAATGGAAAAATTATGAATGAATTTATCCTGATTTATGGAGAAATAACCGAAACAATACGAAAAAAGCCGCATAAGGTAATCGAATCCACGATCGTCGCGTTACGAGCAGGAGCATTAATAAATGGTCCGCTTGTATTGCTGTAAAAGGTTATTCAATTGGAAAAAACTCAAGGCGGATTCATAGACTACAAGTACAGGAGTATTTATTTTACAAAATTTAACTGGGGATTATTAGACAAATTTTGGTTAGCGTTTTACTATCTATGTACACAATATTCCTAGCATACGTATGAACTTTGTACTTTGACAATAATCGGGTAATTTTAGAAATTATCTTTCTAATGAAAATTGACAGAGATAGGCGACAAACACACGGACGGAAAGGAGACGTTATTAACTCTGGGTGTCATGAAATGTCGAGAAAACATTAAAGTAACCATTCGCCGGATGGAGTCAATATTTACCTAAACGATATAAATTAGTTACTTTTTTAATTGTCTTCCTAGAAAAATATATTTTCAATATTTTCATATACGATTTGTTTTTTTGCGTTTTTCCTCAAAATATTACAATAAAAATGAATTCTGTCGTAGTTCCAAAATCTATGACTCACTCTCGTGTCTAATTAACATGGAAGCTTTAAACCTGTAGAATTTTTGTTGAAAAAAATTAAAATGCAATGGTCACATTTAAACCATTGCTTTAGCAGTCAGAAGAGTGAAGACTTGAAAATGTAAATATTTACCTTTGCAGTCGTTATGTTTATTGCTAAATACAAAATAAAAGTGGGACCTGGAAATACTTGAAATCTATAACAAGTTTTTAATTAATAAAGTTTTCTCTTGAGAAAAAATGTAGCAATTTCATTTTTACAACAATGAAACGGACGATTGACTCCAAATTTATGTTCAGGAATATTACTGTATCATCACTTGCAGTCATTAAAACTTGGAAAATTTTCAAGTTCGGCAAACTGCGTCCACATTCTCAGAACGAAAATATAAATCCACATTTGCAACAGACATTTTAATAAGTAGCGGTTCTACCGAGAATACTGTGTGAACGCTGCAGCATAAGACACATAATTTATTCCAAAACCCGGTGTTTGCTTAATTTTTAGCGTAATACGTGCATTTGCAGCAATAAGAAGAGTGAAAATGTGTGAAAATGTCTCAATAAAGTAGGAGGTATGCGAAGCCCGAGTTAATTTACATTTAATTATTTGCTGTTATTCCAACGAGTTCTTGAGCACCGCATTTAGCTAGTGGTAAAGTATTTAATTGAAAGTCATTTTCTACGTCTCGCGAGTGCTCTCAAGTCCTGCAAAAACGATCTTGTATCGCAATATCCGGACGAAACCTAAGAATGATAAGTTGAAATAGCATGGGAGTCTAGATAACGAATCGACAAGTCATCACGTTGGCTTTGTTTTCTGAAGTACGTATACCATTTGGGTTACTGCCATGGGCACCTTGTTACGACACATGGTCGCAACCAACACGATCTGTAACAAAATCCTGTGGTTTGTGAAGAATTTGCGGCTTTTTTAAAAAATAGTAGACAGTCAATATGGAATTTATATCTCGGTACGTGAAAATTGCCGGATGTTGAGGTGAAACAAGAGCAAGTGACTTTTATTAGTATTGTTTTACTCCTGTTCTTGCGTCACTGCGTAGGTTTTTGTCCAGTTGGCAGAGGATGTTGCAAAGAGGAAATTGCCAAGACAATTATCAAACATTCCATAACGAATCTGTAACAGAATATGAAGTCGGCTGCAGTTCTAATCAAATAAAATTATGTAAGGATTTCGCAAGTTGGTCCACGGCGTGGCTCGAAGACAACAAAGAATGATTTAATTGGTTCCAAGATGCCCAAATAATTCCTCATTGCGTAACGCGATTTATTTACATTTTAATTGCTTCTGTTGTCACGACTTACGTAATTTATCGGATTTCTCTTCAAATTCAGCCAAGTTCACTCGAGTATTGTTGCTTTGTAAAGAAGAGTGGAAATCCTTCAAAGCCACCAAAAAAAGCCTACATGTTGAAACTACTGATACCGAGGTTATCACAAAGACAAATCTCCTCGTTAACCTAACAACTTACTAAACAAGGGGATCTCTTCAAACACAAAAAACTCATTATAGCACGAGCCTATAAAAGAGTGGCTGTTTCTTCAGATGCAACACTAAATTTAGTAACCTCGAATTTATTTTCCCACTGAATTGCTTAATTATCGACAGTCGGGACCGTACTCCATTTCTCGCCTTTATTTATATTTCGGCTCTCCCGCTAACGTAAAAATGCAATTTGACGCTTAATTATGTAGTTATCCTTTTTTTGCGGGCAAGGATATAAATTAGCATTAAGTGAGTTTTTGTCGACTCACAAACGCGAGCTATTATTGGCATAAATCTTGTTTATTGATGGTTGTCGGTGCTCTTCCCGTGCAAAATTCGTTAATTATGGTTTTAAAAATCTCCTTTGTTCCAGATGATGAAACACGTGCAGCTTTCTCCTTACAGGAGTAGAGCTGACACAGTGTCCTTAAGCTCCACGACATCCTACGGAAGTCTCAGTCCTGAACCTCTTGGAAGCCGCTCTTCTAGCTATTCGTCACTCAACGACTCATCAGGAAACCTCCAGGTAAATCGAACAAATTAGAAACTCTGAAATTTCCGCTGTAAACGTAATGGTCATTTTCATAGTCAAAGCTATAACTATTTTTTAGATGATAACCATGGGAGTTATCTACCGCTTCACATAAATAAATTAATAAATCATCTAGCATTACAAAGAGGACAAATTGCTCCATAAACAGTACCGTGTGTGACTAACCGCTCTTCAATTGAAGCATGAGATCGTATAACTCTTGCGAATTGTCACATTGAATCACAATGCACAAAGCCGTTAATACAAGGTTATTCTTAACCTTTACAGAATACTTCTTGTTACGGCTGCTGATCCCAGCCCACCAACGTTCAAACTACTCACGTGAGAAACTTTAACCCTGTAACACACACCATTACAACATAACGCAAAAAATTATATTTGAAGCTCGCAAATCATCTTTACTTTTAGTCCGGTGCCCAAATATATAGCAAAAAGTTCGTTACGGACGCCAAATTACAGTTACTTACCTAAACAATGATCATCAACATGAGAATTCAAAAAACGTCGCCTCGTGGGAACCCGTGTTCCTTTCCCGTGGAAATGGGTTGCCTTGTAAGGTCGTCCAAGGCCTCAAATACTATCGAAACGTAATACGAAGCTACTAGTGTGACACATGTGCGCTGAACCATTTGGACAAAATTTGTCTTTCAGACATTCCAATTAACCAAATTATGTATTATTAGGTGAATTTGTGGGTTGCGTAAAGTTTGATTTATTTAAGTGTGTGTGATAATTCCGACACTTCCTTGTTAGTGCTTCGGTTTTTCTGCAGATAATTGGCTTGTAATCTCGGAATGACGAACTGTTATTAGTTGATAAGTGTTATCGGTGTTGGTGTTACTCTTCCGAAGCGAGTTAACTTAAAAGACGCTTGGATTTCGTAAATATGATAACGTGTGATGTAATTTGTAGGAAGTACCAACCCATATGTGAACAATGGATAAAAATACCGGTTGACAAGGTTCTTGTTTCAGATCTATTACTGGTACTAGGCGTTAACTGTATTGTTGTGCTTTAATTAGTGACATAGGTTGGTAATTCTATGCTGGGTGTTGGGATAGGTAGTACCTACCTTAGTACCACGTGTGTTTGAAGTTGCCGATGTATTTTGCAAGGTTAAGTGACAAAGGTGCTCCTGGATTACCTTGTGGCAATTAACCATCAAACAACGTTATCTACTAGTGGAACTGAAAAATATATGCCTACACTCTTCAAAAGCAAAGTTTTGATATAAATTTTCTGATAAAAATAGTTGTGGTTGAGTTGTATATGTTATAAATATGCTGCTTCTGTGAACTGTTTGCGGTAATAATTAATTAAAAATACAATAAACAGAACAGGCTTTTGATTTATAAATTAATATGTCTATTCTTCCTGTTTAGATTGTGAGAATATTTGTTAAAATCTATAGTTCCTCTATTGTTTAGCTTTGTCCTAAAGAAATTTTTACAAAAAAAAGTATTGAATTTGTGTGTACACCTTATCTGTTACCTTTGGCTTTTATGAGGTTGTTAATGCAATTTTCAGAATGTAATATATCCATTATTACCACATTTATTGTTATGAAATTTTAAATATATCGGATCCATCCGACGAATGGCTATTTTCATGATTTCTCGACGTTTCATGACACCTAGAGTAGAAAAAGTAGGTCTCGCGTTTCCGTCTGCCTGTCGTTTGCTGTGTCGATTTTTATTAGGAAAGATGCTCTCCGAAACTATCGGACCGATTGCTGTGAACATCTATATGTATGTTGGGAATATCGTGTAGATAGTAAAATGTTAACCAGAATTTGATGACGTCCCCTTAAATTTTCTTTAGTGAACGACGTTTAAGTTTTATAGAATAACACACTTCTACTCTTGTGGTCTATGAATCCGCCCTGATTTTTTAAATAGTCATCCAGATTTTCGCAAAAAAATCCAGATTATATCGTTACATTTTATACCAGTATAAGAACATTATTGACGTGTGGTACACTTTGTGGTTGTGCCGTCAAAATGTCGAATTACTAACGAAGATCGCTAGTTCAATTGACTCATGATCAATTCAAGAACTTTTCATCCCACTTTTTCGAAAATTTGAGAATACAGTAATGTTGCGCCTGGTTGTGTTTAATAAGTATTTGGAAGAATCCCAGAAGCTTTCTGGGTGTTTTAATTTACAAGGAATTTGATAGGATCTCCAGCCAGCCCTTTGTTCGGCAAATTTAACAGAATTTCCGGGTCCCGAGGTGCTTCAATTTACAAGGATTTGAAAGATCTTAGGTAGTCCCCTGGTGTTTTAATTTAACAATGAATTTGGAAGTCTTTCAAGAATACCATTGGTTTAATTTACGACTAATATGAAAGAATTTCAGAAGCTCAGGGTCCCTTGCTTTTTTAATTCACAAGGAATTTGAAAGAACATTGAGCCCCCCATGGTGTTTTAATTGACAAGGAGTTTAAAAGAATCTCGGAGACTCTATTGGTGTTCAAATTTACAACGATTTTGAAAAAGTCTCGGATTCATTCATGTTTTATTTTATTTACATCGAATTTGAAAATACCACATTTCGGGAGCCTCCGTGGGGTTTTAATTTATAAGAATTTGAAAGCGCTTGGTGTTTCATTTTTTAAGTATTTGAAAGAATCTCAGAAGCCCTCTGGGTGTTTTAATTTGCAAGGAATTTGAAAGGATCTCCAGCCACCCTTTTGTGCTTTTCATTTACGGCAAATTTGACAGAATCTCCGGGTCCCGAGGTGCTTTAGTTTACAAGGAATTTGAAAGAATCTCCGGGCCTCCCCTTGGTGTTTTTTAATTTACAACGAATTTGGAAAAATCTCTAGGTTAATTGCTTTTTTAATTCACAAGAAATTTGAAAGAACATTGAGCCCCTCGTGGTGTTTTAATATACAAGGAATTTAAAAGAATCTCGAAGACTTTATTGATGTTCTAATTTACAACGATTTTGAAAGAATCTCGGGTCCATTCATGTTTTATTTTACATCGAATTTGAAAGTACCACATTTCGAAAGCCTTCGTGGTGTTTTAATTTATAACAATTTGAAAGCGCTTGCTGTTTAATTTTTTTTAATATTTGGAAGAATCTCAGAAGCCCTCTGGGTGTTTTAATTTACAACGAATTTGAAAGTATCTTCAGTCAATCCTTTGTTCTTTTCATTCACGGTAAATTTGACAGAATCTCCGGGCCTCCCCTTGGTGTTTTTTAATTTACAACGAATTTGAAAGAATCTCTGGGTCCATTGCTTTTTTAATTCACAAGAAATTTGAAAGAAGATTGAGCCCCTCGTGGTGTTTTATTTTACAAGGAATTTAAAAGGATCTCGAAGACTCTATTGATGTTCTAATTTACAACGATTTTGAAAGACTCTCGGGTCCATTCATGTTCTATTTTACATCGAATTTGAAAGTACCACATTTCGAAAGCCTTCGTGGTGTTTTAGTTTATAAGAATTTGAAAGCGCTTGGTGTTTAATTTTTTTTAATATTTGGAAGAATCTCAGAAGCCCTCTGGGTGTTTTAATTTACAACGAATTTGAAAGGATTTTCAGCCACACCTTTGTTCTTTTCATTTACGGTAAATTTGACAAAATCTCTGGATCCCGAGGTGCTTTAATTTACAAGAAATCTGAAAGAATCTCCGAGCCTCCCCTTGGTGTTTTTTAATTTACAACTAATTTGAAAGAATCTCTGGGTCCATTGCTTTTTTAATTCACAAGGAATTTGAAAGAACATTGAGCCCCTCGTGGTGTTTTATTTTACAAGAGATTTAAAAGAATCTCGAAGACTCTATTGATGTTCTCATTTACAACGATTTTGAAAGACTCTCGGGTCCATTCATGTTCTATTTTACATCGAATTTGAAAGTACCACATTTCGGGAGCCTTCGTGGTGTTTTAATTTACAAGCAGTTTGAAAGAAACTTGGGGGGCCTTAGTGTTTTAAACAAAAAAAAAAAAATACAGAATCTCGGTGTCCCCTTTAGTGTTCTTTCTAATTTTAAACGAATTTGAAAGAATCTCGGGGGCCCACTTGCTATTTTAATTTACAAGGAATTTAAAAAATCTTGGGCACTGTACTGCTGTTTTAATTTATAAAAAAATTGGTCTAAAGAGTTTAGACAGTACTTCCCTCGCTGTCGGAAACTTGACGACTGCATGCCTATTGTGTTTTTTTCTCATTACATTTTTGTAGTGGGAATTTAAAAAAAAATTGCGATGACGTCATCAACATTTTTGCAAGGACACGTATATCAGTTGGGATAGATGTAGTGTAATACTAAGAATAAAATTATTGTATTCCCAAATTTTCGGGAAAATGAATTGGGTCGTTTTGAATATTGATTTTTTATAATCAATAAAATAACGAAACAATTTACTCACGTTTACGGCAACTGAAAATCGTTTATGTATAAACAACCTTAATTTAAGATGACAAGCGTAACAGCATACGTGCATGAGAGTCAAACAGAAACTGTAAACAAAACGACCATCGGTTTTATTGCTTCGACTTCCGCTTATTATATAAAACATTGGGTTTTATTTTAATTCTTGACGGTGAAATTCACAATTGGTTGATTATAAACATGTCTATTTCATATTCGCGGAACCAAGTGAACGAATAAAACAAATGCAGGTCTGTAATGTTAAAGTCGATGTAAATAAACGTGCTACCCTTATGTTTCAACCGAGTTTTTCCTTTAACAAATTTTGTGTCTACCAAATTGGGTTGGTTGGGGTGTAATACTAATAATAAGTGTTGCCTTTAATTTAATCAATAAAATAAATTGACTTCATTAATTTTTTTGAACCACCTCTTAAGAAAATCTAAAAAATATGAATGGAATGATAAATCACAAGTACAAACTCATCATATTTTTTGCATTTTAGATAGGATTTATTCAGCAAAATTTAAGGGTGACGTCATCAATTTTTTTAGGAGGGATGAACAAATACATTTTGAACAAAAGT